GTAATGCTATGAATGAAAGTGAGGACGATGCCATTTTTGTGGAATACCATAATGACGCGAGCAGTACAGTTGAAGATGCGCTGGTATTCCACCTGGCGTCCCAATGACAGACGACCAGTACGAGAAACTGTTTAGAGATTCTGACTCGGATTCTATTTTCGAAGGATTCGAGTAAATTTAATACAATTGTGCAACGTTTGAATATCTGAGTCTATAAAATGTACCGGTACGTGCTGTTCTGTCATGTCTTTTTCCAATGTTATTGTATGTGATGGTGTTCGATACTGGTAATCAGTATGTTTCCGTTACTGCCATCCGTCGCGAAAGTTAAATGTGCAATATACCGAGAATTTTCGACACAATTTATCTACCTATACAGAGATCAGTATGCGTCTGACTCGCATATATTCGTGTCCGCGACCTTAGTTCCTAGATAGGGTTCTGTGTGACTGAGGCGTTCTGTCAGTCTTCCCGATTTCTAGACGGTTCGTGGTCACTTCGCCTTGTGTATCTTGGTCAGCCTTTCCTAGCTGCGTACCAGTTGACATATATGAACCTGGAACGAGTATTCACACACGCAGTTGCTCTACTGTAATTTGTAGTGGACATGAAATACCTACGCTTTCAGTACTTTGTGACGTTAGATTTTATTATTGTTTGTATCTCCCGATCGTTTGTTTGTTTTACCGACGCCTCTTCCGGTTCACCTTCGAACTCTCTGTAATTCGCACGCTACCTCGCTCTGTGCTCTTGCTAAGTTGCTTCTAGTTCATTACACCTCTTTACAATACACCCTGGGCCCAGCTACGTACTCACTTCTGAATAATCGTTATCCGTATTGGTTCCTACTGGTTCTCGTCGCAACCAGTACCTGAGTTCCGCTCCACAATTGGTGACCCCGACTGCGAGCACGGTTCCGCCATCGCCGAAATCATTTTTGGTGAGCTCGTTCCTTTTCTTCTTTGAATTGCGTTTTTGCAACTATTATTTTGTGATATTCTATGGCTCACTCAGATACTAACATTTTCGGCTCATCTATTAGTGTCGCATCGCTGTGTCCCCCTATCCTATTTGATGACCCTACTATTTGGTTTGTTTTGTTGGAGTATGAATTTTTGCGTCATAATAGTATTACCGACCAATCTAAATGTAGTCATTTGCTAGGTGGCCTTCTTAGGGACTTGGCTTTACAGCTCAGGGACTTTTTCAAGCCCAAATACGAATCTTCCTTATGAGTTTCTTAAGCCGGAAATCGTGACCTGACTGGAACAATCAGCAAGTACGCGAATCAAATAGCTACTCCATGGCTTGCATCTAGGAGATGCGACGCTGTCCGCCTTATTGAGTGAGATGTAGAGACTTCCCAGCTCGTACTCCATAGACGACTCCATCCTTGTAGAGCTTTGGCTGCAGCATCTACCCGAGATAGCTCAAGCTATCGTCATATCCGCCAAGGTCATTTCCCTCACGCTAACTGCGCAACTGGTTGATGCGATCATAGATCATCTTCCTAAGGAAGTAGATTAGGCAACGCCACCCGCTACACATTTGCCGAACAGCCATACCGCCTATCAGAACCACCTACTTCACGCAGCCCATCCATCTGGGCGTGCCATAGTACTTAACGAACTAGGGGCATTACGCAGCACTCTCGATTCTCCTTCAACACTTGCCGATAACTAAGAGCAAGTCGCCCAAGTCCAGCAGCCTACCAAGTAACAAACTATGCTGGTATCACTGCCGCTTTGGTCCTCAGACGAAGCGATGTACTACGCCTTGCAGCTTACCCCCGACTCAATCGGGGTACGTTCCAAGCCCCAAATCACTTACCAATAACGTCACCGGCTACATTTCAGGCAGTAGCCTCCTTTACGTCTAGGACTGCAAATATGGAACCACGTTCCTAGTTGATACCGCGGCTGAAGTAAGCGTGGTTCCGCCCGCAGCTGGGAAGGCGACTCAGCCGTCTACTCTCAGCCTTCGGGCCGCCAACAGCACACTCACCCCTACTTATGGCCAAGGCTCTTTAACCCTTAACTTCGGTCTCTGTAGAACATTTCGCTGGGTGTTCATTATTGCCGATGTTCCGTTTGCCATCATCGGCATAGACTTCCTTAGACATTTGGACCACTTGGTCGATGCCATACAAATGAGGATAGTCGACCCTGCAACGACGCACAGCGTCACTACCACCAACACCAGCATCTCGGCCATCACCCCAGTCCACGTTCGCCCACAGACCTCTCCCGATTAAGCCGAAATTTTCTCTCACTACCCTAAGCTCGTTCAGCCAATGAACGCAGTTCTGCCAGTGGAATCTCAAGTCTCGCACCATATCCAAACTAACGACCCGCCCATCTCATCATGCCCGCGCCGTCTTTCGCCGGAGAAGCTCAAGCAAGCTAGAGCGGAGTTTGAGCACATGCTCGAACATAGAATACTCCGTCCTTCAGATAGTCCCTTGTCCTCTCCACTCTAGATGGTCCCAGAGAAATCTGGATACTAGCGTCCCTGCGGTGACTACCGGGCACTAAATAAGCCTACGATCCGCGATAGATACCCTATCTCACACATGCAGGACCTTACTACATGCCATACAGGTAAGACGGTCTTTAGCAAGATCGATCTTGTTCGTGCCTATCATCAGATACCTGTCGAGGAACCTGACATACCTAAAACAGCCGCCAACACTTCCTTCGGCTTGCTCGAATTTTTACGAATGTCTTTTGGACTGTGTAACACCGCAAACCTTTCAGCGGTTCACCCACGATATCACCCACTGCCTAGATTTCCCCTGCCCCTTCCTCCATGATATTCTAGTGGCCAGTTCGTCCGACGAAGAGCATCTAGCTCATCTTCAGTTCCACTTCCAGCGGTTGACCCAACATGGCGTAAGCTTCAACCCGACTAAGTGAAAACTAGGCAAATCCTGGGTAGAATTCCTAGGCCACCTCGTCTCACCAGCTGCATCGAAGTCCTTGCGGACAAGGTCCAATCCATCAAAGACTTCCCAGCCCCGACTTCATGTAAGCACTTACGTCGATTATGTGGTCTAGTCAACTACTGCTGACGCTTCATCCGCACTGCGCTCAACTCATGCAGCCCCTGACTGACCTCCATAGAGGAAACGAACGGAAGTTTGATTTCCCCGACAGCACACACGCCTTTCACCGAGATAAAGGATGCTATCTCCAACAGCTCTTCTCGCTCACTCCGAACCGCCTGCTCCTCTTTCACTTACAAGTGACGCTTCAGACGTTGCGGTAGGAGCTGTTCTCCAACAACACGTTGGTAGGCAGCGGCAACCGCTCGGTTTCTTTTCCAGACGTTTGCAACCAGCGGAATCCCGCTACAGCACGTTCGGTAGAACTGTTTGCCATCTACTTAGCTACTCGTTACTTCCGACACACATTAGAAGGCCGGACTTTCCCGGTCTACACTGACCACAAGCCACTCATTTTCGCCTTCAACTCCTTCTGACAAATATTCACCACGGGAAATTAGACACCTTTGTCACGCAGTTCACTGCTGACATACGTCATGTCTCAGGTGTCGACAACCCCGTAGCTGACGCTCTCTGTCACGCCAACTTCACACTTCACTCTTTGCCTACTGTCGACCTCGCTGCTATGGCATCGGCTCAGGCTCAAGACGACGACTTCCAATGCACCATGCAGTCCACTTCACTGCATGTGCAATCCGTCCCTCTCCAAATTACGGACGGAACTATCCTTTGTGACAGTTGCACAGGTTGTCCAAGACCCAGCGTGCCCGCCTCTTTCAGACGCACAGTCTCCGACACCCTTCACTCACTGTCTCATCCTAGTATTCGGGCATTTTTAAAACTGGTCACCAAGCATTTCGTTCGGTCAAGCGTAAACAAAGATGTTCGTAATTGGGCTCGCGCTGGTCTTCAATGCCAGCGCTTCAAGGTACATCGGCACACCCGTAGTCCTCTCGGCTCACTTCTTGTGCCGGATTCGCGATTCTCTCACGTACACTGACTTGATAGGACCCTTGCCTCCCTCTCGCGGATCCGTATGCATACTGACATGTGTCGACCGTTTCACTACATGGCCAGAAGCCCTACCTATACCAGACTGTACGGAATGCCTTTCAAATCTTCACACGTTCTGCAACTTCCTAGGCTGCCACCGTATCCACACGACGGCATAGTACCCTGCGACGAACGGCCTAGTCAAACGCTTTTATGGACAGCTCAAGTCATCTCACTGTGCTACTTCTGACTGGAGCGAACATTCCGTTAGTATTTTAGGTACCCGCAGTAGCATCAAAGCTGAGCTGTAGTGCGCACCAGCAGAGCTGGTCTACGGCACAACACTTAAGAGGCCAGGAGAGTTCATTTCGCCCCTGTCGCCATCCTGTATACCACTGTCAAAGTTCGCAGCCTCCCTTTCTCAACGCATGCGTTCGCTGCGCCCGACTCCTCATCGTCAGCAGACCAGGAGCCTGGTGCGTGAAATAACGGTGCTGAGCGGTTCATTTCCTTTTCCTATGTCGTGAACAAGGCGTCGAACACGCTCGTTGGTCACGCGGTGTTCCCACCAGATGTGAGCTAAATTGCGAAGACATCGGTGGTCGAACGTAACTAGCCTCTTTAACTTCGCTGATCTAAGGGGCCAGGTTTCAAAACCGTACAGTAGGGTCGAACGTACTCCTGCATTGTACACTCTAGCCTTCTGGGCGAGAGTGATGTCGCGCCGGCGCCATAAATGGCGAAGGTTAGCAAAAGCCCCGCAGGCAATGACATCGGGCATTTATGAGTCCCGTTTCTGTGAGTGATACGTTTTTATGGTATCACGTTGGAGTTTGAAAAAAACGAGCAGTATTGACAGATAGATTTTTATCGTTTTAACCATATTCCGAATGAGTTTTATATATTTTAATTTCTGCTTCCTCCCTATTACAGTACTAGGTTGGCGTCTGCCCATACTTATTCAATCTAGATTATGATAGCTATGCCAGTAAAAACGAACGGTTACGCCGTGCTCGGAAGTGATTGGTTTAACTCAGCCGAGTGGTAACACAAGTAATTGGTGAACAAATTTGGAAAGATGTTACGTTGTGCTCTAAATAAGTGGAAAAAACCTGTACACCTAAGAACAAATGAGGAACAAGAAAGAAGAAAGGTAGAACGAGATCCATAATCTGAAGAGAGCATGAGGGATATGCACAGGAAGAAATTTCAGTGGGAATCCTGAACGTGTTGCATTATCTGACTTCGGTCAGTGCTACGAAATTCGCACATGGGACAAAATAACTCTTCCGAAGTAACGTCTGAAGAAGGAGGAGGAGGAAGAACAGCTAATTGGCCGACAGTTGCTCGCGGGACCACGAGAACAGGGGGCAGTATAGGTACAGTGGAGCGGACAATCGACTGACCAGGAATGGCCAGTGGGACGATGCGAGCGGGAGGAGCAGGCGCGATAAGTCGGTTGTGGGAATTGAGCAGAGTGGCGTCTATTTGAGACGATGATGCGATAAGCGAATCGAATGCCGGGGAATTATTCTGAAGCGAAGTTGCAGTGGAGGCGATTGATGCAATCGTAGTCGGAGTAGAGACGTCGAGTAACGGGGCGCAGCGATGAACAGTCCGGCGATGCATGCTGAGATCTTCCAGTGTTAGGCAGAAAACAGGACACAAATCACATCCGTGGAACTAAATGCGGAAAAGTGGAAGCAGCGCAGCCGGTTAGCGCGATAGTGCTTATCGAGTGTTTGACATCAGTAAACTAGTTGGAGTTCAGAAGACAAGATCTCAATTTCTAGAAACCATCAAGTGTTTAGAAGATCCCCGAAGGTTTGACTGTGAACAAGGAAGTTCGCAATCTGGCAAGCATTACCACAGATTGGATGCCTTAATTACTCAACTAAAAGTCGGGTGGGGAAGACCTGAGGAAAAGAATACGTAAGTGCATGATAACAAACAGATCAATAGTCGGAGAGTTGTTTCCAAACCAATCGGGACATTACCAACTACCTAGGTGGGCACTGAGTAGAAAACGAGAACAAACAGTAGAGACTATTAGTTTACATTTGTTAAATAGCTGCACATTCAAAACAGAATTTCTAAAGTTACACCCGAAGGGCTGCGTGCAGTGTGAGTTGGTGATAATGATGAATATCTATAAGGAAGATTATCCCACTTTCTCCTCTTCCGGTTGAATCAAGCTGGGTCAATCAAGTGCCCATCCATAAAAAATTCCATTTGTTCAAACCAATTCATTAAGGTAGACCAAAGCTGCAAGACAGTGTTTGTACTCATGTGTAGTAGTTCGAGTGAAATAGCAAACACGCGACATCAACAACTAACTCTAAGTGATAATCTTTACCACGGCCAACCAGTTAACTCAAGAGTTTGTTAAAGCACCGGGTCGGACCAGGCGTATTAAAAGTTGCTCACGAGTTCAAAGGAACAAGTCCTGAACCAACAACACTGCAGATTAGCAACGCTAAGAATTGCTGGGAAGCTCCATCGGCAACGCTGCCACATACATCTGTCACTATCAAGTTATCGATCGAGAAATTCATGGATTTATTTACGCCTAGGGACTTACGGATAGTAAACGACTAGCGGACCGTTGACTGAACATTTCAGGTAACTTGTCAGGCCGACTTCTGCTGGTTGGTACTTCAGAGTGGCAGTTTCACAGACAACCGGCGGTACTGTCAGTCAGTAGAATTGCTCTAATCAACGATAAGGCATTTTCTTTACGGTTAGCCGAAACAGTTTAACTAATTAAGTGCCAGGAGACAATGAAACATTGAAATCAAATGATCCGGAAACGATATCACAAACCAGTACCGAGTGGGTGTAACGAACGATCATTTGGAGACAAAGCGCCCGGAGGAATAAGCGAATTGAACACATTTAGGCCAATGTAGATTTGAGTGGAAGGTGCACGAAAATGTCATCGAAATCACTGGAAATCAGCCAGACGAAGAGTGGTAAGTGAAGAATGACCGACTATAAAAGTAAACGAGCTACACGAAACCAAGCGATACAGCGATGTTATCATAAAACGATAGGCAGGCATAAGCGGGCATTTCAGATGAAATGAAAAATTGTCGCAAACGGAATGAGCAAAAAACCGAAGGAAACATCAGCGGATGCAACGGAGTGGAACAACTGACCTGGGAAATAGGACCGATGGTGGTACGAATGCCCAGGGGTAATGATTCTTTTGTAGTCGTCGTCGTCGTCGTCGAATGTACTACGGGAGCACAAACAGATGGCGTTAGGGAAACGGACACATGGGACACGTTCGGGGTAGGCAGAGAGGTAGTGAAAATGGGAGCGGCGGTGGCGGGGCAGGATGTGTCCGGGGGTTTGCTCTTGGTGGGAGTTTGCAACCGAATGAATTTAAACTGGCCTTTCTTTTTAACGCAGGAGTCATTCATATGCTCAGCGAGGGCACGCATAGATGTGCAGGCAAAAGGGCAATAGGGGCACCAGTATTGATGACCAGACTGTAATAAAGGCGGGGAAATAAGCATACGATATTGTTGATTTTCAAACTTCAAGAAAATAAAAGTGGTGAACGGACATGAATCAAAGAGCAATCTAGAGCGAAACGGAAGTGCGGTGGAGTGAATGCATTTCCAAACTCCAAAGTGGCTCGTCACACAAAAATGTCTTGAAGTTCTGGAGATGTCGCGAGACAAGGATCATGTGAGACAGAAGGTATGACAAGTTTTCCATGTTTTACGACAAGCTACTTCCCAAAACGAACGATCCACTATAAAAACAAATCTCGGTAGGTGATAACGAATGCAGTTGGATAACAGTGAGTTTGACCGCGTGAATCAGGCAAACCCATCCCTAGTTAGTCACACCTGAAATGATGAATTAGGAGTAAACTGGTTTTGTGAACAAGTACAGTATTGGGAGCGAGAGTTGTAATGCTTAGACTTGGCGTTTCCAACTTCAAAAGATGGTGGAGTGAGAATTTACGCCGCGACAATGGTGCCATCTTCTGCAAGGCGGCGGGCATCAGGATTACGCCGGTGCTTCGTATCGAGGCTTTGCTACCACATGGCCACTGCCAGTCGCATGCGGACTTTAGATACTGCGGGATAGCTGGGAAGTACATAAATTAGAAGCAGTTACGTGTGGAGAACAAACCAGACGCGTTAGCTGCTCAGCCGCCGGGCAACAGAGCACTAAAGATACGTAATAAGTCGGGTGCAAATACACTTGGATAATACAAAAAGGGACTTACGAGGAGCATGTGTAAATCGAGCTGACAGGCAGAAATGAATTTGGTCTGACAAACAGAACACTTGAAAAGCCACCAATTTGGATTCGTGGGATCCTGCGAAGCTAGGCCCTCGGGGAACGAGGTTGGATTAGCTGGAGGCTTGCGGTGTCGGCTCACTGCACTGATGTAAAGCGGTGCAATGTCATGTAGAAATATTTGACGGCCATCCTTTGTGTAATAATCTGTACGAAGTTCTGGTGCCAAAAATCGAATAATATCCATAGGGATGACGCAAGAGTGCTCCCTTAATAGATGCAAGAGGATGCTCTCAGGGAAACAACTACACAGCAGGCACGGTGTATGTTTTGTGCATAAGTGTTCGGCCAACTCTTGCTGAAATGTTAACGTAAATGTGAAAATAAGTTGAAAAACGAAGACGACGCAGTTTAAACAAACATACAACAGGGAGCAGAGCCATGGTCGAGTTGACACTCATAAGTGGGTGAGATAATTGGAGCATAAAGATGGGCACAGTTACAGATGCCCGGCTTAGCAAGTGGTCTATCCAGACTGCAGATGTCCAGGAAGACTCTAGCTGAAGAAGATGAAAACTCGTCAGCATAAGTACATGAGCTAACTGAATTAATGCTTCGCTGCCGCACAACTACGGTGACCGACGGAACGAAGGGGCCCCAGTGCAAAACCAAAAATGCTATGAGCAAACATTCAGTCAAGACGCCTACACCTTGTCAACAACATACCGTCCCAAACAGCTGGCTATTGTGCATCGGTGAGACAGCTTCCTCGCGCCTTCCACTGTCCCGCCCCATAAGCAGCTATTACTCCGCAGATAACACGGCCTCAAACAAGCAGTTCGATTACCAGATGATGGTAAACACGCCATTGTTGTCGACCGCGAAACACTGTTCTGTAACGTCTCAAGCCAAGCACAAGGCGTCACGTGGACTCCTCCCTTGAGAGCGAGACAAACCAACAGCATCCAGAATGGTCGTCAGTGAGTTCATTTCCCGCTGCCAAGTTGTGTCCATCTCGACCACTGTGCCACCCCACGTCCGGTAAATAAAACAAGACTCATCTGAGTAAGCAGTGACCGGGCATATATAATTTGAACAGTGCTTCATGTTCTAGAGAAAAGGTTTAATTATTACAAACTAGAACTCGTCTACATACATACTCGTTGCAACATCAACAGCAGTACACCAGCCATTTGAACTGACACTTCGCTGCTACACAACAACGACCTACGGAATGAAGAATAATAAGCGGGAGAAAAAGGGGACTTTCCGGAAAACCCTACTACCTTAAACAAACAAGCAGGGTCAAGGCGTCTTGTGTCCGACTAGGAGACGGCAGCAGAGGTGCCACTGGTGTTGACTGCGAGCCATATCCTGTAATCCAGAAACAAGCACAAGGTGGATCACGTGGACTCCAGCCGGAAGGCGAGACGGTACCAAGTTTGGTCGTCAGTGACTTCATTTCCCGCTGCCAAGTTAACCTTTGTCCACCTCGAGTTTTGAGCCACCCTATATCTGGCAGACGAAAAATGTTCTTCTCGATAAGCGGTGACCAGGCATACGTAGTACGTGCCCAAGTCAACGCAGCTTATTCAGTTCTATCTGTTGTTCTAAGGAGTTAGCCTGATTATCACTGCCCAGCACTCGCCTACGCACATAATCGTTGCAGACAAGCTGGTGCTGTCCGACACCAGCAATACATCGCAGACAATGATGAGCAAAGGCTGGAAGGCGCGTCGGACTTACAGACCGAAGGGGCCAAGTCCCACTCCCATAGAGTAGGACAGTCCTCACTGTGGCGTTGTTTACACGACCTATCAAACCGAGGGCAACTCCTTTCTGTCGTCAAAAATCGCAGATTTAAGAATGCAATTCTGACCTCCGCAATATGTGAGCTGACTTGAGTTGCTATGTGTCTATCGTTGCTGATGCAGCTGCCAAGGAAAGTGAATTGATCAACTAGCTCGAGTTCATCGCCATCAAGGGTCAAGGGGTCATGAAGTGGCTGGTGAAACTGAAGCAACACTTAGCACTTTGAAGGTGCGAAACGCATACCACAATAGAGGTTATTTAGGATTAATTGTGCCGCCACAGCATCGTTAAAAAGCAGAACAACATCGTCCACATAATCAAGATCGAGTAGCTTATCATCAGGCAGCACTTCAATGCTTGCACCGCAAGATTCCGCAAGGGAACCCTATTTGATGCCGTGCACGACGAAGTTGAATAAAAACGAAGAAATCAGACAACGCTGATGAACGCCAGTTGTTGCCAGAACGATATCCGACAAGTCAGCGTAGACGCAGACGCAGCTTGTGGTGTTCGAGTATGGGATACGTAAAATGTACACATATTTATTGGGAATAGATGCAGGATCGAAACACAGCGCTTCAAGCGAAAAGGTTAAGAAGCATCTTTTATTTTTAACGATTCTAGCAAACTAATTTAGTTCAACCTCGTAGAAGTTGGACAAAAGGATCACGGAAACACAAAGTGAAACTGTAGAGCGAAAGAAAGATGAGCGAATTAGTCAGGCGACAGTTAACGGTGCAAGCAATTCAAGTCTACGTGACGCAAAAGCAGGGAGCCCTTTAAGGTGATAATTGCCCTACGCGTTCGACTCGGAGCGTACCTATAGATGGGGTCTAGGCCAGAGAGACCAGCCGGAGCTATTAACACTTCTGTAATTAGATGGACTACCGGAGTATTGGAAAGATGGGAGAAACAATGACGGAGAAACGCAGGCCAAGGATCTGAGAATGTTTTTAGAAAAAGATAACTCACCGGATGCTTTATGGCTAAATGGATGTACAATGTGGACCTGCAAACAGCAGTGGTGGAGCATACGAAACAACGGACTCGTTGATGCGACTGATTGCCCTCGACGGTCCAGGACAACTGACCACACATTATACAGTAGTTGGTCGGTGCAAAACCAAGTTTGCGCTAAACACAAAGAGAAGGCGTGCAAAGGTTAGCGGCATGACGAAGGAAACGGTAGAAAAGCGATTACGTGAAAGAGCCGGGATGTCAGCCGTGCTGCTGAAGAATCCGCGTAAGTTAATCTAGTAATTTTGCAAATAAAATCGAAATCGTAAAGGTCACAAATGTAGCTTCGTAGAGATAAGTGAATTGAGCTCAGTATCTCAATATAGACAAAAGGTAAAGGACGGAACTCAGTGGCGTACAATAGTTCATTAAAGCTCAGATAGAAGGCAAGGCATATGCTTAGAATCATCGCAGTGTCAAAAATACCGTAAATGAGGAAAATCAAAGTATAGGTTCACGGAAGTGGAAGTTGTCCACAGTACCGGAGTAATAGTTAGCCAGTTGTTGTGGAGTTCTTCGAGCTGGGCAACTTGGTTGCAGACGTTTCGCCACCATTTGAGGTAACATCTTCAGTGCGGGATCGATAGCAGGTAAGTAGCAGTAGCACGAACTCAATCAACATGCATATCGACCTCGATCCAATATATCAACCGCTGAGACAGAGAGAGCTCAAGAGGATCAACAACCTTTGCCCGAAAGAACCTAATCCAACACACGGACAATGAACAGCATGGTCAATATGAGCCCAGACTACTCACCCACACCTGTTGCACCAATCCGAGTGTGATAATCCCAACCACATCGCAACAACAGTTCCGCAGCCAGACAACGGCTCCAGCACAACCGCTGAACACAAGGATTCATCAATGAGAACGAGGCAAAGTTAATAGCCCCGTATGCCTATATAAGGAACGGAGTGGTTGCCGACAGTATCCATTATTGGGTTTGCTTTCTACCAGCTACTGCTACTTACTTGCTATCAATCCCGCACTGAAGATGCCACCTCGAATGGTGGCGAAATGTCTGCAACCAAGTTGCCCAGCTCGGAGAACTGCACAACAACTGAGCAAGCCTCCCGAGCTACCAATATTCCAAATCATTAATAGTTAGCCAGTTTCACCGATAGCGAAAGAAACGCAGATCCATGTATGCGCGGCAAACGTAAATAAGAATATGTGAGTTTCTGAATTTCAGCCATGACTAGGACTTTATCGGAGATTATGAGCACATCTCCTACCGCGATTCAACACCGGTCTTGATTACATTGGTATTCTCCCGGAATAGAACCCAACCAGGACGCCAAGTATGAACTTAAATGCTGTCGACCAACATTTTCAGCAGTCAGCGAATGAAACTCCCTGAACCGCGCCAAAAGCAATGAATACCAAATAAACTTTAACATGTTAAAAACACCTTCGGGTTCATTCCACTTTGCGTATCGATGTTGAGTCCGTGAATAAGTCGGAGATAAAAAACCGGATGTTGGAGAAAGCAAAGCGGAAAAAGCCCATCATCGGCGTGAGGTTCTCTGCCGGCAACACGGAATAGTGCCGACGGACTTGATGAATACAAACATAAGAGCAAGATGTAGTGAAAATGTAAAACACGCACCCGATGAACTTCGACCAAGTGCAGTCGATGCGTTTGCACAAAGACGGGCATACTGCACAGTTCACACCGTCTTGCAATGACCGGATGACTGCGGCGTGTGGCAAGCAGTGGATCATTCGAAGAAGGACCTGTGGCTTTTGATAATCCGTTTGGCAATAGATTCGTCTCAACTGGCAGAGCAGATGAGGAGGATGTTGGCTCGTTTAAAGCAGATAGAACATATGTTTTCTTGCAAACCGTCGGATCGAACTCTGCATTGTCCACAGACATGCGCTTCCGGCTGGCTCGTGCATCGACAACTGCGGATGTAGTACAAGCAACAGGTGGTTCGGAAGCCGAAGATGGGAGAGAAGACGAACAAGGGGGACTGATAACGTGACTCTTATCAGCATCGGACGTTGCAATAATCGAATGCGAAGTATTCGCAATTGCAGAAGCGTTGCTATCGCGATGCAAAGTAGTACCGTCTGATACACCTTCCACAGCCACATCCAAATGTGATCCATTGGAGGGACTTTTATACGGCGGGATCGCTACCTTTGGACTAAAAATGGGAATAAAGCAGAGAGAAATGGTAAAACAAGTAGTCTGTAGGTCTGGTGACGCATTAAAGTTAGCAGTGACGATGATCACTGTCGGTTTAATGAAATCAAAGGACACCGACTACTCTAACACACCTTCCTTTTCGAACGGTCTACAATAAAGGAGCTACTGGTGGGCAAAACTCGACTGATCGCAGTCAAATGAGCTACAGCTGGTAGAATAGTGCCAATGAGCTCCAGTTAGATACGAAGCATCTCAACATCATAGTAGGCATTGGAATGGAGATGATTTAGATAACCAAGTAGCTCAGTAGGAGCGCGCTAAACGGGATGTCAATGTCACCAGCTGCAATTACACCAATCTGTTTGCATCATCATTTTCATGTTGTGTTCGGTGAAACACGAGGAGTGGCGTTTAACAACAGCACAAGAAAATGGGACTTCAACAATGAAAACCTGCAATAAGGATGTGGTGGTCGCCATACAGGATCAGATGAGATAGCGAAGTGTGAGAATCAAAGGCAAGTTAATTGCTCAGGTAACTAGGCCACCCGGTTAAAACCCAACTATCCGCTCAGAAAGGCAAAATCATTACATATGAACGGAGTATCATTAAAAACAAACCTGAGGTTTATATACAGGTATCAGATCGACAGGCGACTGTCTTAGAAAATACGTCAGATAAAACTGCATAGGAATGCGTATAAAAATAAAAAAGATGCATACCAAAGAGAATCCCCAAATGTGTCCAGTTTCAACAGGTTCAAGCCCCGTAGTATAGGCACGTGCGATTACCGCCACAAAAAGAGAGAGCAAAAATCCTTTCTTTGTATCTATAGGGAATCTACGAAATTAGAATCGCTTAGTTCACGGTAAACTGGGAGATTCTTTCACCATGTTTCAATAGGGGGCATATGACCATGGTTGGCGGCATCCGGTTTCGGATTTTCCTGTCACTGTGACCAGCCACAGGATACCTGCGCCTACACAGAGAGACAATGGGTGGCTTGCGCTGCACCACCCACAAACTCCATATCCAGTGTAAATCCGAAGGAATAAGACCGGGAGGCATGTATATGGGAGCCACGTTTCATCAACGGAGCCGGCCCACACTCCTTCATAGACAAACATGAGCACACTGTATTGGGGAATCAGCCGCACACAAGACGGTGGCTGGACCGTGGTCCGCTCCACACTGAGTGCATGGAACCGCTCTTTGAGCCTAGCACGACCACAAGGACCGTGCACCCCGTCCCCTCCAGCAACGACCAACTGTCGCCTGGAGCGAGTATGGACGAGATAGTGGGTAATAGACAGGTAGGCACCTTGTCAACATGCACATCAATCGCAGCCACATCTGGGATATCAAACAACAGCCAATCACTTGAAATGACATTAGCAAATAAAAAATATCGGTTATACTGCATACGGCTATGCTAACATAACTCTTCGCTAACTTAGCATATGAAGTAAGTTGGTTAGCAATGAATCCGCGATAAGTACAAAATGTCCAGAAGTTACTCAAAAAATACTACAAACGCGAAAGTTAACGAAGATAACCACAATTAGCGTAAGCAGCGTGGTCAGTTAATAGAAGAGTATTCAGCTACGCAGAACAAAGCAAATAAAGTGGAATGAAATTTACTAAGCTTAAAAAGACCCAGTTTAAGTGTGTTGTTTGAGCCCAACTGCGGTGAAGAAGCATCATGAATACATCAGCCTCAGCATGGGGCACATACCTATGTAGATATAACCCAACGTACAAATGAATCACCTATTGTGCCAAAGAGCAGGTGAAAAGCTAAGTTGGGCTTGGAGAATCCAGGTGAAAAGCTATTCTAGCAAATTCGATTACGCTGCATGGATAGAAATCGTCAAATGGCCCCGCTATTTTCGATGCACAGCGCGTCCGTCGCAAATGGTACCATGCCTTTTATGTATACACACAGTCCGAGCAGGCGCAAGAAAATATCATCAATAGTATGATTTTGGAAGTAATGGTGATTACTACTTGAGAATCAACTAAAACTGAGGTTCACTCTCGGAAGCTGTAAATCCTTAAGCATAGCTGTGAATTGGCCTCCATTTCTGCAAGATTTGAACTACAGAAGCCATTGCGTTGTAGCCAAGCTTAGCGGAAACAGTTAGGATCACAACGGGGGAAAATGAGCTGAATGTGCTGAACAGTGAATGACAAGCCTCCTATGTGCAGCCTACATTCACGGCGTGGACCATCCTGTCCTTATGAACGCTTAGCTAAAGCACGCGAACACAAACGAAGATTAAACTGGATTTTATCCAGATTGGGGCTGAAAAACACATCCCAATGATTTGTCAACTATGGGGACGGCGGTAAAAGTCGATTGATCAGGCATCATTGCCCTTTCAGAGACACGGGTGGCAACTGAATCAGACTGGTCTTAAATTGCTACTAGGAGAGTGGAGAAAAGATATTTAGCGATACAGCGGCATTCTGTAGGGATGCTTCGATGTCATGGGGATGTTAGAGTACCCAGAGCTGAATAAGAGCGGGGAATGGGAATTAGGTGTGCACAAATCGGATGCCTGATCACTATACCATGGATTTCCCATTCATCGAGAATTTACGGGAAAAGCAACTATTACCAAATCTTTCAGATTCGTCCCAGCAGCTTAGGAGACAGATAGTCTAGCCACCAGTCCGGGAAGGCACTAGACAACTCGTAAGCTGCTGGAGCGAAACAGCAAAATTTTAGCACAAGGATTCCTCCTAGTCATTAGTTGCTATAAACCGTTACTTCTTAAGCGACGAACAGCGAATAGTCATATGGTGGCCCTTCGTACCTTAGTAATAACAGTTGTGTAAAACAGGGTGCCAACAGCATATTTGTTATCCGACAACGCTATGTAGGGAGTCGAGTAGAGCGTTCTAGAAACTTGTGTCATGGAGCTGCATTCCAGTGGCGATCATCATCATCATCTGTGATTGTTCGAAGGCTTGACACGCAGATTGGAGACTTCAGAGTAAGAAACGGCCCCTGCCCTCTCGGAGTGTAAGTTTTAATCACAAGATTTGAATGAGACCGCTCATTCTCTCCGACTTTTGAGTTACCTCTTGAAAGTGGCCGACATGTTCATTCACCGTTGGAGCTGCTGCAGTATTGCTGAATAGGTTTCGCCAAACATTGCCGCTTCTGGTGTCGACTTGATCACAAAAATTAGGGTCTATGTGAATACGATACGAGTGGCTCCGCTCATTGGTTGTGAGGCATGGTCCGTTCGAGTGAACAATGCCCAGAAAATGGTACTGAACACAGCTACCTTCAGATAATCACCGGTGATGTAGGAACGAATAATTTTCAGGCCAAACAGATTAATGAACACTGAGCACATAATTGCAATGTACAGACTTCGATAGCTCGGACATCTTCCCCCAATGATTGGTCGGTGGGTGACTCGCTGTTTTCCTGAAGCACATCGTGGCTTGATGTAAGCGAGTCTAAATGTCAACGTACGACTTGGCCCAGAAGAAGCAAAACGTTAGTCTCAGATTTTAAACCAGTCAGTGGTAAACATACTGCGAAACACACCTTTCCTGACCATTACTATTGGCCATGTTCAGTTCAGTTGAACAACTATAGTCCGGGTACTGAAGAGCGGTGGATCCAGTTGCCACGACTTGCATCGTCAGAATAACAACACATAACAACCGCAGGGAAATGAGGTTGAACGCAAATAGTGTAAAAAGAAAATGGGATCAAGATTGGGAGTGCGTTAAACTACTTGGTATAGAATGAAAATTAATCGAATACAGGAACGCCACTGAATGCGCCATGTACGGAACATCTAGAAGCCCGAGCCTCGAAGGCGACACGCACCAGTCTGACCAAACCTCTGAGTCGATTTCTCCATGCCTCTATGCTACATCATCGAATGGTTAGCACACGGTTTCGTTTAATTTGGTGCAGCCACCGCGTATAATGCACGCCTAGGAAGCCGAGCAACGGAGAACAGGACCTGACCAACGTAAAAGATAAAAATGCAGCAAACACGAGAGTAAGGCACCAGGAGCCTTCTTGTCAAAAAACCACTGACGGACCTCAGCATAGCTCATCCGGTGTTTTTATCAGACGTCAGCAATACTCCGTCAAACACGACCAAGCGTTTAATGTCTTCGCTGCGAACTGGCCAGGTCTCTGATCCATACAGAAACACCGGCCTTACTGCAGCATTATACACGCTACCTTTCACTGACAGACTGATATCTCGCCGTAGTAGTGAAAATGTTCAAGATGCTCCGTAACAGGGGATTTAAAAGTATGCCAGTTAACACAGATGGAAAGGAATTAGGACAAAAGAAGAAAGGCGAGAAAACTTACCTAACAGTACTACCAAGCTTGTATGGCGCCAGAGTTTTCGTGGGAGCTACAAGATTGTTAACGTCGAGTGTGATCAAATCACCGTATAGAGAGGAGATGGCCAAGCTGCATCGTAAGGTGTAGGACTCAATGGACCACAGCCGCAATCGAGAAACGTTTGTGGAGAGAATGTAGTCCGCATACCGGTACATTTGTGAGACAGTCGAAGTGGGAAACGCGACCCTGGAATGTTGGTTTGGGTGCAGCATCAAGCATGCCAATGGGTGGGCATTATGTCCCGACCAAGCCGCGTACTGGTAAGCAGTAGTCCGAGGGGAGCACTGTGAGTGAATCAAGGCACCACAAAGAGTAAACTGAGGTCTTCCCGGGCCACTTTTACCGCGTAAGGGGCAACCGCATATGGCACACAGGTGGTTCGACGGGACCTCCATAGGTTGCGGAGCGAGGAAGGGGTGCACGCTGTGAAAAACGAACGTGAAATTTTTGGAGGAAGCACAATACGATATGCTACCATATAGCTGATATCACACGAATTTATCACAATGATCTGACACGAAGAAATCACCGCGATAGGAATCTGGCAAACTGTTGGCACAAGTCCGACTTTAGTTTGCCAACAAAATACAAGACAGTGCAAACTGTAATCGTGTACACCGATAAATAAAAAACAAAATGAGCAAAGATAGTGCGATTACTGTACTTATAAAAAAGCTGAACGTTGAAATTTAGAAGAGGACTAGCTGAGAGAGGTGAGAACAGTACTTAGAAAATCTTAGACGTACTGAGTGCGAGTAATCGAAAAATGACGTATGGTCAAATAAAAGGATTGTGTTTCGAAACTAATGTGTAGGCAGAGGTACGGTACAGTCAGACAAAGACAAGACAGTCCATCGAATATATCGGGAAAGAGAAGTTCGTGAGAGCGTAAGCTGTTCACCAGAATAGTGACCGGTGCGTGCCGCCCTAGTAGATGAAGCTTCCGGATGAATTGCACCAGTGATTGGAGACCTTGTCCGGCATGGCGCAGTCAGCTACGCTTACGCACACAGATATTAATGTTTCAAACCAGCCAATATTAATCGCTGTTTACTAATCCCTATTCCTATGATTTGTTGAAGTTCCAGTTTATATTTCCCGCTATTGTTGTTGTCACCGTGGCAACAAGAGTAGGTGGCAGGAGCACGCGATCAACTGAATTATCTGCCAGAATGCACATTGCAGTGTTCCTGCTGACAATGCAGGTGACACGCTGCAAGTGTTACAGACTCCGACTCATTCAAACTCTTCGGATCAAAAAAGGAAGATAATACCAAAAAGCCTCAATAACGACACACGAGACTGCAGTAATGGCTCTGATTATGTTGCTTAGCAAGCAACATTCATGAATGTGCTCCTGATGCTAGATTGCGTGATCCTGCCGTCCGCTCACTGGTTATCTCTCAAGTTCATGCATTATCATAGGCTGATTCTGGTCATCACTGGTTGGCTCCCGGTTAATCGACTTCAAGAGCCACTAAGGTTGCAGTGCAGGTAGTTGTGAAATGCGCACACCAAAGCACTGAACAAATGCACATAGAATAGTTATTTAAAAAAAAAACAGAAACACGACAGACGCTATCGAAAAAGCATCAAGTTCCACTTTGGTGAATGCCAAAGAAGAGAGAAAGAAAATAAGCCAGCAGAAGCAATAGGTGATTAGTGATAGGGTGAAAGGTTACCTCCTAATATGCTTGAGGACAGTGTTGGTTTCATAATTCCTATCGTCACAAACAGGGCACTTTATTTTGCGAGTGCCAAGAGAAAAAACGTTGAGAATCATTGGAGCGGCCAATTTTGAGGTCGAACCAAGGATTGCTTCTTTTTCCTCGGCCAGGGTAACCGAGCCATCCTCTGGCGCAAGGCTTCGAAAGCTGATACATCTGAGCAGGCTTTGATGGCCGAGTTCCAAATGCCGATGCAGTAAAAATATAGACGTTGGAATGAATGGGCAATTGTGAGTTTTGCACAGATCACGAACGCGCGTCCAGCGCTGATGAGGATCTTTAGGTCGCCACTCTAGGTGGGGCACGGAGGTTGCAGGACGACAGACGTCCGTAGTAACGTGTACACACTCTGAAACTGCACGCTCTCCTTCCCCAACTGATTTCGGAGATCGAACTAAGCCACAGCCACATTCGATCACTGTCATGTGGCGGTACTGAGCGCGAGTGAGTTCATGCCCTAAAATGTGACAGAAAGGGAGATGACTGGCACAGGCTACCGATGCGTACGATGCCGCCCCAAGATTAATGAGGGAAAATGAGAGAAGATATAACGAACCGAAGTAGAAAGTGACCTGATCTCACGTAGCAACGGGTGTGCCTACTACAAAAGCAGAGTACCCATAAAGCAACGCGTCAGTCTGCGGTAAATGAATCGCATTCTCAGTGGTCTGTCTGTGGATGTATACTCGGAGTACGCAGTCATTCCCGCGTGAACAGCGATGATATGGTTAATTTGCTGAATGGGATAGGAGCCAAAACGCAAGCTATTCGTAAAATATGCAGCACCTGATGAAAGTGAAGGTGATTATTATTTGTTAGAAAAGCAGGACGACACAACTCCGCCAGTGATGTTGTGAGAAGAGTAATGCAGTGATATCGTAGCGTACTTAAGGTAAGTCTGTGGCAAAGCGGGTAACCGCGCGAAAGGAGCGATAGTGAAAATAGTTGGTCCGTCGCAACCAGACTGGACCTTAATGTGGTGCAATGGTTTGCGGACCTTTTCGACCCACTGAACTATACTGGGTGGTGCCCCAAGCCCCTTGAGATCTACTCCTACCATGTCGGTCAATAGTTAGAGGTCAGACAAAGGCAGCCTTCCGGCCTTTCAGGTCGGGGGTTGAAAAGGTGAAGGCGAGGATTTTTGCAAAAGCAAAGAACTGCCATTTTCCCGCTACCTTGGAGGAGTATTCCCTCCCTTGCATAACCGTAAGAAGCATGCGCCAAAATGCTCCCTGGTGAAAAGCTACTTAATCATGATTATGTGGACGATGTTGGAGCGGCCCAGGCAACTCTGAATAATCTCTCTAGAGTGATCCCATTACTTTGCATACGCTTCGCTCCTTTAAAGTGCAGTGTTTGTTGTAGGACAACCACCATATGATGACCCTTTGGTAGCGAGGAGCTCGAGGTGGTCGGTCAATTCACTTACTTTGGCATCTGCATCAGCAACGCTAGGCACATAACCTCTGAAGTCAGTTCACGTATTGCATCTTACTTGAATTCGTAACATCTGTGGAGACAGCAGAATTTCCCTTCGGCCTGAGAGGCCGCGTCTACAAGGCCACATTGAGGGCCGTCCCACTCTAGGATAGTGAGACTTGGCCTCTTTGACCTGCGGCGCCTTTAAGTCTTTACTCATTGTTGCCAACGAGGCATTGCTGGTGTCGGATGCCACTAGAGCATCCGTAAGGAAGATATGCGTAGGTGAGTATTAGGCACCGATAAGCAGACCAGTACCTTGGGACAACTAATCATGTTGAATAAATTATGTTCGCTTGGGTACGTACTACGTATGCCCGGTTACGGTTTGCTGAGCCTTATTTTGTTTACCGAATGTAGGGCGGCGGTAAAAATCGAGGCGGGCAGAAGTTGACTTGGCAGCAGGAAATGAATTCACTGACTATAAAACTTGTTATTAGTACGTCTCGCCTTATAGGCTGGAGTGCATGTGCTCCGCCTTGTGCTTGGCTCGGGACATTAGGGGACATTGCTTCGCAGTCAGCACCACTGGCGGGTCTACTGTCGTCTCGTCGTCGGGCTGCCTGCTTAAAGTGTGTTTGGTACCGAGTTACCTGCGGAGTAATAACTGACTATGACGCGGGGCAGTGAAATCCGCAAGGAAGTTGTCTCGCTGATGACGCCCTGTCTTTGCACGACAGCTAGCTGATTGTGACGGTGTGTTGTTGACAAGGTGCAGATATCCGGACCGTGAATGTTCGGTTAGGGCAGTTAAATTTTACACTAGGGCCCCTTGCATCTCTTATTATTTTTTATTCCGTAGGTCATCGTAATTGTGCGGCAGAAAAGCATCCGTTCAAATGTCTACTTTACTGCCGTTGGTGGGGATGATGACTAGACGGAGCCAATCACCACAAACAAGAAGGGGAACATTAGCTAAGACGAAAACATTGACCCGATAGTGCGAATATCAGTTGGATTTATAACTATAAAACAAAACATACGTAGTATCCATGAACGCGCGGGTTGTAACGACCGGCGCGGTGTATTGTCGAGTAGCCCTTCGTGATGCAGAACTTGAAATGGACTTTCAATTCGACACGAAAACGATATGCCATTCATATAGCATAAAGGTCGATAAAATCCTCCGTTGATGCGGTCCACGATTGTTCTTCACTCGTGGAGTGTCTCAGGCTGTCAACAATGCAACCTACGGCTGTGCAACTCCCTCAGGGACGAGCGATCACGCAGCCGCGGGTGGATCTGCATCACGTGGGCGAGCGACCATCCGGTCAGGTGTTAAACCTTGGCTGAGCGTATTAGTCTCTTAGCTACCATTATAGGATTAGTTAGAGTAGTCCGCAGAAGTCTCCCGATGCTTCAGTCTCCACTACTTATCGGTCCTCTTGAGCCCACCAGGCTATTCTGTCAAGCTGCGGGTTATTTTAAACTACCCAGGCGCACTGTACTGCATGACAATAGGTTTAATGAACTTCCGAATATATCCATCTGATGTTCAAATCAGTGACAATGCTAGAGTTAGGAATTCCCGCACCGTGGATGGGCGTGAAAACCATATTCCACTAAAATTATATGGAAGGTTTGTAAATAGAGCCCTTTGGGAAGACTTGCCCAAGCACAGATCGAGGAGGCCGGTTGTTGTGGTTCCAAACAAAACCATAGGATCAATGTTATAGTCCGCGGGGCATGGTGATAGTTGAAAGTCCCAATCCGATTGTCCAAGAGGTTTAGTGTTTCAGTTGTAGCAAATAGTTACAAAATTATACGCCCTGTCGCCTTAGAACAGCAAGATGAGAAGAATAACGACGTGAGTGACGAGAACTAAGCAACGACATCCACTTGGATGTAAGAGGGCAAATGTGTGCGTAGGCGCACACATATGGAGTATACGTGACGGTGCTGGAGAGGGCGGATTCCGTGACAACCAAAACAAATTAGGAGAAACCTCACCAGTCAATGATGGTAGTCAAGTGACATCTCTGGAAATGCACCATAAAGATCGGTCGAAACGTTATACGGACACACAAACGCCGTGCAATAGAAACTTTCGACTCACCGATGCGCACCAACAACCTGGCAGACGGGCGAAGACGACCACATGCGATGGTTTCGGGTGAAGCGGGCTGCTCTGATGAATTACCGAATGACTTATGGCTAGGCAATTGAACACCTTCAGGAGGGACAGCAGTATGAGAACAAGACCACACACTATCGGAGTGTGGATCGGTAGTCGATGTTGGGACGGCCGATGTAGGAGAGACATCTAAAGAATCAGTTGGGTTCTTGTTGAAAGAAAATAGAAACACGAAATTGGAACGTAAGCTTCTTATTCTGTAAAAGCGTGGTTCCAAATGGTGCAAAAATACAACTTTATTGGAATGAATGAGGTGGTAGTCAAACCGCACAGAACAGTTGAAGCGTCATGTCAAAGGCTAAGAGAATGTTAATCGAAGGAGTGCATGTGACGTAACCAACGAGTGGAGAAATACAAGGGAATACGCAGAAAAGTAACCTACGGAATTACGAGTGGTTGACAAAGTCATGCTCAGCTCTCAAATCGCATGAAGCCTTCTGTTCACGGGCACAGAAAGGGCATAGGTTTGCGCATAGCTGGTCAGCCCACGACAGACCGTTGGTGAAATGCAGATCCGTAGAACAGTTGCGCGGCAACAGGCAGAAGCAGAAGGGTCAACCTAAGCCATGCATGGTGAACTGCAGTCTGTAGGCGTCCTTTATTCTGCATTTTGCCATTTCATCACTGTTGGATGCGCACAATGAGCATCGCATTTCAGTCTAACATGTTGGCCGAATAATGTTTCTTCATTGGCTTTTTGTTTCTAGAACGGTGTGAGTTATGACAGCTAATTTCGGTGCCTCGAGACTCAGGACAGAATCCATTAACTGAACTAAAGTTTACTGAGATTCTTTGAAAACGAACAAGCTGTTATATGCACCTTCTAAAGTTATTCGCGAGTACTGCTGACTGAAACACCCGCTGGCAACACTGCGATTTATGGTCGGTCTCGCACGTCTGCACTCTTTAAGTGAAGCTATTTGAATTGCGACTCGAAGTCGGGACATAGAGACTAGTCTGAGTAGTTTAGCCCAAAGTCGCCGAGGTGCGGACAACGCCTGTCGTAACGTCAACCTCACACTGTGAAGTAAATATGGATGTGCGATTGATTCACCAGTTTGCTTGCGCTACTGGAAGATGCCGTTCTGAAACTGTTTCACCTAAACTCCATCTGCAAGCGATTCACAGCGTGGAGATGAGCGACGAATGTCGATGCGCAGGGCGTATTTGGCTGGAAAAGATGGGTCACCAAGTCATTCCCGATAAAAATGACATCAGGAAATCAGTGACTATCAAGAAAGCGAAGGAAAATGCGGGTGACATCGCGCTATACTCAGCCTAGGCGTGACTGGTGGTGGTTGCGTGACAGCGAAGCGTCAGTGCAGTGTGCCAGATACTGCATATGTTTTTCTTTCATGCAAAAGAGCACTAAGAAGAGGCTAAATACGGTGGGAACACCGCGGGAGCAATTAGCTTATTCGACGTCTTGTTTACCGCACAGGAAAGGGGAATGAACCGCTCAGCATCGCTATTATATGCAGGAGACTCTGATGGCTGGGTCACGTGTTGCGCATGCCAGCCCACCGAGTCCGGCGACGTGCGTTGTTTGCGCGCCAGGGGTGCGGATGGAATAAGAGGAGGGACGGCCAAGCGATGACTTGGTCAAGAGGAATGAAGGGCCTCACTTCGAAGTTAGTCTCGGCTCCCTGGTTGGGGTCCGAAGAATGAGGAATACGTTTGGATGAATACACTTGCTGACATGGCTAGGAGCAGACTTCAGTGGCGTGTGTAGTGAATTTCTTTGTCTCTTCCCAGCCTTCTTATCCTCCCGTTCCAACCGCCATCTCAATTTTAACATCATACAAAGTTTGCACAATGATTTTTTGCTGCACAGTAACCGGCTGGTAGCTTCCCGGAACGATGCCCACCGCGTTACTGGTAGTTCAGCTGGTGTGCACCTATAGTTGTTTTTTTCTTTTTTATGCATTGCGACACAGTATCTGTGGTGTTTTCCACCTCTAGCTAAGGTGTATAGTATAACGTACGAAAAAGATCACTCGTTCGATTTACACTAGCCCTTGCAGACTATATAGAACTCCTGTTGAAAACAAAGCACTTTTATAATAAAGTGAATTAGGGAGGTGGACTCAAACGAATAGCTAAACAGCAGTAAATTGCGCTGGGACCGGAACATTGTTCGTAGATCCGTTTGACAGCACCAACATACGAGAACCGCAAGCGGGTTGATTAAAATAAGTGTTTGTTTAGTTAGCTTGCTCGTGTATTTCACCACATTCGCACTTCTATCACACACCAATATTTTTCATTAATAAGTCTTGTTCATTGGAATTAACTCCTAATGTCTACAACCAGCTCAGAGAATTACTAGTCATTATTACTAATGAACTATTACAAACGTACGAACTCCCGTGCACGCTGACAGCAGATAGGTCCAGCGCGTATTCTGGAGTTCCACGCAATAGGTGTTTGTTGACATTCCGAGAACCGATTAAAGCGTTCAAGTACCGAGCGTAAATTGATGTCTGCTAATTTCGGGACCAGACATGTGCGCATGTTTTGCGATACAGATGAGGTTTCAGTCGACTTAGCTGGTGTTGGCATCGCATGAGTGACAGAGCTGAGGCTACATTGCGAAACTGATTCGCCATTAAGAGCTGGCTGCGTACAGTGCGGATTCAGGGTTCTTACAAGATCAACAGGTATCGTGGAGGACGTTTCCGCCTGAGATCCAAATGACTGTAGCTGTGTATCAGCAGTTAGGTGTGACTTATCGCAGATCTAACCAGTTTCGAGTGAAGCTGGACACTTCAATGTAAGGGTCAGTCGTAGGCTGCAATGCGAACATCATCTGAGTGTTCGCAAAGCTCTCGATGAAGGTGGCTCTGATAACGGAAACAGACTTCTCACATTAAGTGAAGATAATCGTCCTCTTTCCAACGTAGGCTTCTGGCATACCACGAGACGTTCCACCGTGTGGTGTCCTCACCAATGCAAACGTAATCACAAATAGATCACATTCTAATCAGCTCCGAGGGGTGGTAGCATACGGGGATTGTGGCCCGATTCGGTCCACCTGTCCGGACTTGAATCACGCATTGGTTCGTGCGGACATTTGCATGCGTTTCGGGGGTTCCGCGAAACGAAAGCACAACACTCGGTACTAACAGACCAGTTGACGCCTCAAATCATTTGAGCTAGTAATCTTTCGTATAAGACACGTTCAACAGTGCTCTGTCTTAAAATGTTGAGCATCACCAGTTCCCCGCAAAAAGCGATGTTTATTTTTCGCCAGTGAATCTGCGGAGTTTCCTGTCTGCCCACTGAGAAATCGGATCTCCGCTCGCTTCATGGGATTATTTGATCGTTGCCGAACCACATCAGCTGAATCAAATCTCAGTGAATTATACCACAACCTCAGCAATCAGCTCAAGTAAAGCCTGCACAATGAGCCACAGAACTTGACGAGCTCGGTGGACCACCAACTTCCGTAGTTGCAGCAATGATCTGCACAACAATGAATCGGAGGATAAAATGCCTAAGTGTGCAGACATTTTACTGAAGATGGATCCGCGGATATTACGGTTCGGCCAGTACAGGTGGGCAGCAAACAGTCTCATTTCGGTATGACGCAACATGCATAGATATGAAATTATCCCGGCGCACTGCTGATGCCTTCTTCTTCTGGACAGATTAGCACTGGATGTCAACCGTTTCGGGCTGTTTTGCATCCTCAAAGTGCAAAGCTCTCCTTCAAGATTGGCAAGGACTGCCTGCTGCGCTGACCCTTCTGGTGGGGATCAGCTAGAAGTCGTTGAAACGTTCAACTATCTAGGTAGTTGGATCAGCGTTGTTTGAACTGAAGACGAGGTCACAAACCGTATAGCAAAAGCAGGAGACACCTTTGCTAACCTTCGCCGCCTATGACGCCTACACGACATCACTCACTCCCTGAGGGGTACAGTGTACAATGCAGACGTAGGTTAGATCCTACTGTACGGCTGTGAAACTTGGCCCATTAGATCAGCCGACATAAGGAGGTTAGTTACGTTCGACCACCAGTGCTTTCGCAGTTCGGCTCATATCTGGATGGAACACCGTGTGAGCAATGAGCTTATTCGACGCCCTGTTTACCGCACAGGAAAAGGAAATGAACCGCTCAGCATCGTTATTCCACACACAAGGCTCCGGTAGCCGGGTCACATGTTGCGCATGCCAGCCCACCGACTGCCGCGACGTAGGTTGTTTGCGCGTCAGACGTGCGGATGGAAGAAGAGGAGGGACGGCCAAGCGATGAGCTGGTCAAGAGGAATGAGGGTCCTCACTTTGAAGTCGGCCTCGGTTGGCGCCTCTGGGCTCCCTGGTTTGGGACCGAAGGACGGTGAACACGTCTGGCTGGATACACTTGCTGACATGGCTAGTAGCCGACCTCAATGGGGTTTGTGTTGTGAGTTTCTTTGTCCCTCCCCTCCAACTACGATCTTGTTTATTAGGCATAATATAACTCCTTTTTGTGGCACAACAGTCGGCTGTTAGCTCCAAGGAACGAGCTCCATCAGGTACAGGTGACTCAGCCGACATGTCTTTGTCACATGATTTTTTCTTTTGTATTGCGACACAATAGCTGTGGTGTTGTCCACCCGCAGCTAATGTGTATACTGACTGAATTACTAACATCATCCTCATCGTCATCATCCACAGCAGTGCATCAGCCATGTGAACTAATGCATTGCTGCCGTCCAACTACAACGATCTACGGAATGAATAACAATAAGAGGGAGAAGGGGGACTTACCGGAAAACCTTAATGCCCTAAGCAAACATTCAGGGTCAAGGCGTATCCACCATCACATGGAGCTGGCTATCGTGAAAAGATAAGGCGGCATCAGCTGGACCCATGCTTACGGCTTTTACTGCCACGAGTCATAATCGGCCATTACCCCGCAGATAACTCAGCACCAAACACACAGGCAGTCTGACTAGGAGACAGCAGCAGACGTGACACTGGTGGCGACTGTGAGCCATATCCTGTAGTCTGAAAACAAGCACATGGCGGATCACGTGGACTCCAGTCCGGAAGGTGAGACGGACCTACGGCACCAAATTTGGTCGTCAATGACTCCGTTCCCGGTGCCAGGTCAAGTTTCGTCCACGTCCAGTCTTGTGCCACTCTAAAGCGGAAAGACAAAACAAAACCCTCCTCGGTAAGCAGTGACCGGGCATACGTAGTACCTGTCCAAGTCAACGCAACTTATTCAGTTCTATCTGTTGTTCAAAGGAATTAGCCTGATTATCACTGCCTAGCACCCGCCTACGCAAATAATCGTGCAGACAAGCTGATGCCATCCGACAACAGCAATACATCGCAGACAATGATGAGCAAAGACTTGAAGGCGCCTCGAACCTACAGACCGGAGGGGCCAAGTCTCAGTCCCATAAAGCAGGACAGTCCTGACGGTGGCCTTGTTTACACGGCCTCTCAAACCGAGGCAACTCCTTTCTGTCGCTAAAAACTGCAGATTTAAGAAGGCAATTCTGGCGTTCGAACTACGTGAGCTGACTTGAGTTGCTATGTATCTATCGTTACTGATACAGTTGTCAAGGGAAGTGAATTGATCAACTAGCTCGAGTTCCTTGTTATCTAGGGTCAAGGAGCTGGTGGTCCCGCAGAAACACTTAGCACTTTGAAAGTGCGAAGCGCACATCAAATAATGGAACCATACGCAGTTTATTCAGGGTTGATGGCGCCGCATAATAAAGATAAACTGGTCTACCACCAGGCCAGCTCCTCAATGTCTGCATCGTGAAAATCCTCAAGGGAACACTCCAAGATACAGTACAGGACGAAACTGAAAATGGGGAAATTGGACAACTCTGACGAACGCCAGTTGTTGTCGAAAAGCTTCCGGAAAATCACCGTAAACCCTGACGCGGCCTGTAGTGTTCGATTAGAGCACGTAAAATGTTCACATATTTCGTGGGAACACCTGTCTGCGAAAGTATTTCGAACAGAATGCATCCATCGACTGAATCGAACGCACTCTTGAAATTGAGGAACACAGCTATTGTTAAGCGTGACACCCAAGCACTTCACTGACGTGGAGCCTAACACCTCACCATCGATATGGAGCTCAGTGATTTGCTTCAGAAACTGGGGATACCGATCTCTATGCAATGAGAAAGACGACATAATTGCATTTTGAAACGTTAAGCGGCAGCTCGCGGGCTTTCGACTAAAAGATGAGAGGATTAGAGCACCTTGTAATCTTACTGAAGAGGCAGTGGTCGATTGGCTGACGCCGATGACAATGTCATCTACTTACTTCAGCAGGTGGTTTCCCCAAGGACTGGTATTGAGCTGACTTAATTAAAAAATAGAAATGGTGACAGAAGAGCTCCCTGAAGAACACCAGTGTTTATCATTAGGGGCGAAGAGCTTCTGCCTACCAGTCAGATGACCGCCGTAATATGGGCAAAATAATTATTCAACAAAAGGACGATGGATAGATGTATAGCACGGCGTAGATTTGTAGACAGCAATTCCCCCGTTTACACAGTCGAATGCGTCGATGTAGTCCAGAAAAAACCGATTCAAATAAAGTTGATACAATTGTCCAACGATGACAGAACCAAATACACAAAGCAGGCTACTGCGTCTTGGGTCGACCTAAAACTGAGGTAGGTAAACATTAAAGGGAACCATTTGACTGTTTTGTACCAGCATCTTCTCAAGAATATTTTGAAAACCTTAAAGGCTACCGATATGTGAATGATTCCGTATTTGGTATTACCACGTCCCCAGTAGTTTGCAATTTTATGTCGTTAATTCACAATGTACCTAAAGTAACAAGAGGTTTAGTTAAGTCGGAATACTGCTTGAGGAAAGTGGGAGACAATCTGTCCGGATCGTTTGCTCGCCTATTTCATTTACTTGTGCATAGTGTAGCTGTAGATAGGGGGGTTCTGATTCTGTAAACAAGTTAGGCTAGGTAAAAGAGTCAAACATCGAACTATTGTGGCAGCTGCGGAAGTTATGGTATAGTTTTTTTACATGTCAGCGATTGATGTCGAGTAGCCGCGCTTATTTCAACATCCTTTAGTTCACAGCAATTGCTACTCAAAAGCAGTCTGGACGTAGACTGTTGAGACGAAGTAACTCAATAAAAACAGGATGTACTGAAATGTCTTCTCTTGAAAGCTTTCTCCTTTAGTATACGCAGCCGCTTTAGGTGGGGAGGAAATCTGTCTGCGAGGATGAACAGAATTTCGAATGGACAGCAAACATCAAAACAGCAGTTCAGGTAGCTTGTCAACAGATAACAAGACGTGGATACATCCGCGTCAAAAATTAAAGTGGAGTCGGTCTGTTATAACAGTTCGCGTAGTCGGTTAATACTCTGTGCGGAACATTGCTTCCAAATGAACTAGAGATGGTTGCAACGAGTAGCTTCCTTATGGTGGAAGTCAGGACACCGCTAAACAATCGAGTGATCAGGGCTGCCAAGAGAGAACAGTTTCAGGTTGTTAATAAATACCAGGTCCAAGGTAGCAATGGATCTGATGAAGCAGTTTAGGATGTTTCGCAGCCCAAGACTAGCGAGAAAAGTGGTGTCAAATCGGTTAAAATCACAAGCAAAACCACATAGGTGACAATCAACGTGTTTTATGATAGCCGCAGTAAATTCATCGTACGATACTAGTACTTCGAGTTGCGGACATGTGCGGAAATACAGATGTTAGGCAGTAGGATTAAGCAGCACAAACTGATCTAAAATGGCTTGCACTTCAAAAGTAAGCAACTAATATGTTGCGAAGAGAAGCAAGACAAAAGTTTAGTAGACATGCACCAAAAATAGCTGAGGTGATTACTTCACCATCACAGTTTCGGTAGATGCAACGGCGGTCGACCCGATGACAGCGATATAAGTGCGCCATCCACCTCGTTAAGCGAGGTCTTGTAACAAAATGCGTTTCTGCGTTTTGTGAATAAAGTTGCGCTGAGATCAGGAGGTATTTTCGACCTGGAAAGTGCGTTCGCTGCATGATGTGGGATTACGCTTGAGGATATTTTTCAGCGACCAAAATACATCTAACGGTTGTTTCACTGGGACGGCCAGAAGGCAGACAAATGAGTCATTCTTGCGCACACCTGTCGGTTACTCGTGGTGGGTGCGTGTAGGAAGTTACTGATTCCTCGAAAGTGATCCATTGTAGTACTCGATATATAGATAGGAATGCTTATCTGATAACACGCTGTGAAAATAGACAACTCCGGAGGTATGGAACACCAAGGCGTGAACCATAGGACAACTTCGAAACAAAGGACATACGACATGATATGGGCCCAAGAAATTGGACGGAACCGTGCGTACCAGAATAATTGATCGGCGCATATTTAAAATACCATGTGAAGTAAAATAAAGTCTAAGAGAATCCTTGTTATTGGTGTTGCCACGTTCCTTCTTAGTAGTAGACATGGAATACTATGGTAGCGCACTACAATACATCGTACAGGAAACGCACAAATAGTGGAATGCAGGTACTCAGTTGTCTAGCGAAACAGCACACCGCGATCGACATGGTGGGCAGTTTCCAAACAGCCTCGTAAATTTGCAGACAAGAAGGAACCACTGAGCCCAAATGATACCCCCTGCCGCAAGTATGGGCATTTGGTTAACGAAAAAGACCACAAGGAACTGAACGAATGATGGCAAAAGAGCGAGTTCGAACCAGTGAGAAACCCCGTAAAGTGAAAGAATAAGATTACACTTTAAATAACAAAGCAAATGCAACTAACCTGAAAGCCGATCTGAGCCGACTTCCCTGCTCGATTCTTCGGTATCGCATCCTTCAGAAAAAGAGTTTGGCGACCAAGAACCCTTAAGCGTTTCTGAGGAATAACAGCGTTGGCGTAATTCGTCCGCTGTTCACCAGCAGCCTTGGACGGAGCAGCGGTGTATTGCCCATATAGAGAGAACAAAACGTAGTTAGAATCTCGCGGAGTCTGTTCCGTAGGTAGGGGTGAGTCAGTAATAAGCATAGGGCTGGTCCACCGAAGACTGAATTCAAGTGAATGGTGGGGAACAAGAAGGGGTTTCGGAGCAATAGGCCTACAGTTTAGGTCTGGAGGTTTGGGAGGGACCTAGGATGAATAGTGGCAGAACAAAAAACATGATAATGTACGGTAGAGTAACAGTACAAATCATAAAAAATCCACGTCATTCAAAAAGTATAAAGACGTATAGGGGAACCTCAAAGCCGTATCACTGTATCTACGGAACATGAAACTGAACTATAGGACATCGGTCTGGTTGCTCGATTTTAACACCGAAGTCTCCACTTTCCGTGTGGTTCAGTGATTGATCTGACCGACTTTTACTTCAAAGTAATTGATGAATTAAACTGAGACCTCGTATCGTAATCCATACTCCATGGCATCGTTACTTACGAGATGCCTGCCATTGGTGACAGGCTTGTATCTTTGTGGTTATTGTGACCGTGATAACCACTTTTCTGGAGTACTGACTATGACAACCAACTCGCATAAATGAGTGTCCGTTTTGTGACGAGATAAAGAAAAACTAGATAATAATAACTAAGGGGATTAAGCAGTAAACACGGAGTAACAGAGTACCTACCGTGTGTTTGGACGACTAAACGCAATCTTTATTAGAATATAGATGTACTTTGAGTCAAACACCGGGATCGCACCGAAGTCGAGAGATTTTGGTGTCGCTTGCACCCAATATTATTCAAAGATCGATTTCGTCGTTGTTTGGACACATTGGGTAGGAATAGTCGGAGATGTGATTGTAGCTCGGAACGTGGTGGCTGGCAGGTCGCTGACACCTAGAATGCCAGGGGAATCTAGAAAGTTCCCAGGGGGATCAGCTCATAGTGGTGCGGCAGAGAACTGCACAGAAACCGAGGCCATGCACCTGACTGAGGGATCCAAGTGTAGCCCGAAACATCTAACATGCCTGTTGTGACCGGCTAATCAATCCCCTAGCAAAGGCTTCAGCTTTACATTTTTAAATCGCAAAGCTTGAATCAAGAATATAAGCACAAAGTGACTGGGCGTAGCGGCCATCTGTAACCTTAAAGCTAGTTAGAAGTATGGTCCTATCCGCACTATCCGAGAATAGAGACTATTGAAAAGGAGGCCAAATGAATACCTCTCGGAAGTGTTTCGATCAACGAGCCGGGTTTTTCATGTTATGGATCAGCGCAATTGAGAGGTCAAAGACCGTCGCAATAACCTATGAGTTCCTGGCATCTTGTGAGGATGAGCTAAAACAGCTGGCGATGGGCACTTGCCACATGATTCTATTATCCAAACCAGCTAAGTCTGTAAGATTTCCTGAGCAGATCGCATGCCCCGTTTTCACTCACCATTGACAGTTCATCAGATTGCAGCTGGAACCGAAATGTTGCTCAACTTCGACAGAAGATAACACGGTAAGCTCCATAAGCAGGGAGTTCCTTTGTCCAGCCGTTCACTGACAGGAAGTTTTGTTTCTTGGGATGGTTGCTTTATTGGTAGCATTTGTCAAGTCCCTTTAAACTCACTTTAACGTCACGTGCCTGGAGGCTAACGCGAGTTGTCTTTCCGCTTCGTATGCCCTCAACTCACCTTAACGTACTTGGCAGCTGATGCATACGTGGCTGTCCCCTTTGTTTAGGCCCAAGTGAGTGGCACTTGCCTTTTGACAGCGCTCTGGGAACCGAACTTCTTTAGCAGAGGTTCGTCAAACATTGGGATACCCATTGTTCGATACCGTAAGAACATGCACTCGAATGGAGCCATGCTGCGCGGCGCCTTTAGCATCTTCTAAGCCACTCATACCAGGTTGGTCAGATGTTAAAAACCGGACAGATTCAACCCCTGAAACTAGAACAATGGTAGCTATTTGTTACGTAGAACGGACTTCCTAGAGCCCATTGCCAAATTCAGGCTGTTATGCAGCTCGGTTTTGAACCGAAGGCCTCAGTTGAGAACCCTAAATGACTTGTTCAGACCAAGTCAACATGTAGTAGCCTACCCACGCAATGTGATAGAAACGTCGTCAGATTTTGCTGTGTTCTGTTCGTCGCAGAGGATAAGTAATGTGCCACATTAAAAGAGTTGAATGGGGCGAATGGGCTATCGCTCATGCCTTCCCATTTCCTTACTTCCCCTCCTAGATCCTTTCATCCTCATCGTTCCGTCTCAACTTCAACTACATCCCCATTCGTTTCAACCTCCTAATTCCCAGTCATCTCATCGAGAAACCTCTACTGTTTATCGGAAACCCGATATTAAGACTTGATTTCTGTGTGCACCTCGCGATTCTCTCATGTGACACCTGCGTCACTTTCTCGAGGCGTTCATCTAGAGACAAAGCAGCTTTGAATGCCGGTCGAGTCGGTGTGAACATCGAACTGAAGCTGCCCTAATCGATCAGATTCCAAACAGCAGCCGGATGTGTAGCATCAGATGGGTTAGCGCGGTCAAAGCTCTGAAGTCATGCAGGGACAAAAGGTGTCCATTTGTTATTTTTACCTACGCCACCCAAAACTGCAGCGCTGAATACTGTTTGTCAGTGAAGAAATACGGATGTTACAATGGTGGTCTGGGAATTTAACGATCATGGTATACGGAACTGTCGAGCAACGATACATATGCCGTTATAATGGTAACGTTAAGCGGCTGCCACAGTTGTGTGAAGATGCTCGTCTATCTCTCGCGAGCACCAACTCTGGACGCAGCATCCGCCACGAGGTTGCATCGCGCTCATCATCCTTGAACCAGCAATGGATGCGAATGGATTACATCGCGGTCAGTTACGGTGTGAGCGGTTGCATCTTAAACTGTAGCTAGATTTCGAGTGCTCATAGACTCCGACGACGCATTTGTAGGTGAGGATCTCCAGGTGCGTGTAGGCGGGACTCTCGAAGACGCAGTGAACGCATAGACACTTTCAAACTGACGAAAACAGACGCTTAGAAGGCGTAGCAAAGTAGGCCGGTAAGTTGGTTGAGTGGATATTCACTGAACACAGTTGAAGATTGCAGGTAGTATGTTAGCCAGATGTAATAGACATCATGTGTCTTTGTGTGGTGAATCCGAATGATAACCCTGGTAATTGATCGCTGCAGGATAAAGGATGGAAAAGGATAAAATCGTCTAATTATTGAAAAAACTACATTACTTCACTACACCCCGTAGTTGGCCAATCACAACCAACAGACAGACTAGACAAACTCAGACAAGCAGTAGACAATTAGTTTAGTGAGAACAGTGCGGTGGAAGCCAGTAATCACCAACTCCACAAGACTCCATTCATATTTCACCCATCCATGGTACAGAGCTGCAAGCACGAATGAATACAGTGGCAAAAGCTTCCGCTAAATGGTTGGCAGTGAGTTCAGCTGATCTGACCTATTATCAGATGCGTAGCAGAAAGGAATAAATAAATAAATAAATGGTATATTCCTCGGTGATTCGAGGTGCAGTCCAACAATGTGGTCTGATCAATGTGTACAACAGGATCGCAAGAGAATCAATTTGTTCACGCTTTTTACAATGGATCCAGAACAGGTACTAAACTGATTGGCAGGATTAATGCATTAAAGAAATTAAAAACCAGGAATGATAGTGGAAGGACCGTTGTTGTCGAAAAATTGAACCCCAAAGTTAAGGTAAGCAGATCAACTGCTGAAAACCTGAACTAACGTAGCCGTGATTAATTCACATAAGGGCAAGATGTCAGCTATTGTAAGTGTTGCTGCAAACACTCCCTGCGCACGAATCATTAAGAACCCAAGTAAACAGGTTTGTCACTGAAAACAGACCACCTCATAGCGAAACTAAAAGCGAGACATAGAAAAGTTATCTATAGGACTGTGATATTGACGAGCTCACTCGAATAAAGACTATAAACCTACCGTTGGTCTATGTCTTTGGGGTTCCAATGTTCGGGCTGTAGTCAAAGAGCGTAAAGAGTACTTGCTAACAGGAGCACTAGAAGCAATCCCCACACGGTCACCAGCAAGTTCATCACCAGGCTCCTGTCTCACCTGCGCCATAATCCTCAATCCATTTAGAAATCATCCAAAACATGTCCTACAAATGGATACTGAGGTTTGATACGAAGTAACTATATGGCACAAAGAACAATAAATATCTACTAGAGAATTGCGCAGTAAGAAAGTTTTAGCTACGCAAAGTAGTTAGCATAAAAGCGGAGCCAGGTGTACAGTAAGAAGTAGGTGACGCTAACACAAAGGGATAACCAAAAAGGATTGGTTATCCAGTAAGACAACAGCAGTAACGATGATGGGCACCGAGAAAGGATGAAGTCAGTGCCCAAAATGAAAAGATTGTGGGAAAAGTAGCTAGATGATTTGAAGGAGGGTGTAAAAGGCGGATATTCTAAATTCCGCTATGACTGCTGAGTGACGCCCATAAAATAAGAGGCGCAACATGCTCATTTCATCATAGTCAGCAGTACGCCGGTACGTTGCATCGACATACTGCTACCACGCGACCACTATTAGTCAAATGCGGCCCGTGTCCCAAAGGATGGGACGCCTGCTTTGTATTTCGGAAGTCACGGGTTCGAGCCTGCGCAGGGTACCGGACGAAACTAACAGTATCCTTAGCGCACGCGCGACTGGTGGTGGTAGCGTGGCAGCGGAGCAGCGAAGCATCGATACGGTATGCCGGCGTACTGCTGCATTTCATACTAAAAGGTGGCTTGAAACTAGACATTTTTAAACCGGTGAACGTTGGACTACAAGGCGGACGCCTTATACCAACCTGCCAATGGCCAAGACGATACGCCAGTGCTATTAACTGACGGAACGATCGCTACTGTAGAACCTTAATGATCAAGGGAATGAGGAATAATAAGAGAAGGGGACCTAGTGTGAGACCTATAAGGTAAAGGTGCCTAAACACTGTAAGCAACACATGATCACAAGCAGCCGCCTATCGTGAGAAAGCCAAGTGACATCTGTGAGGCAGTTTGTTTGCGGATTTCAATGGACAGTATCACAATCAGCCATCATCCTGCAAAAAACTCAGCATCAAACACCCTAGTAAGTCAATCCGAATAGCATGGAATAGGAAAGTGTCACTAGTGCCGATCGCCAGCCGCAGCCTGTTGCTTCGAGTCAAGCACAAGCTGGGTCACGTGGACTCCGACACCAAGTTCGGTCATTAGTGATTAAACTCCCGTTAACATTTGCTTTCGTAGGATCTTGCATCAGCCCACATCAAAAAACGAAACAAGACTCTGCTTGGTAAGCTGTGACTGACACAAGTAGTACGTATTTTAAAGAGCAAAGCTGACTATCCGCGCCTAGTAGTCGGCTGAGCGTATTATCGTTGAGCCTGTCGCAACGAGACTGGACCTTAACGTGGTGCGACGGTTTGCGTACCTCATTGACCCATTGAGCTATACTGGGTGATGCCTCCGAGCATCTTGAAAGCTACTCCTACCAGGTTGGTCAATGGTGAGAGGTCAGACAAACTTAGTCTCCTGGTCCTCCAGGTTGGGGGTTTGAAATGGGATGGCATCCATTTCTGTAAAACTAAATCAATGCCACCTCGCTGCCTTGCGGACAGGCTTTTGAGCCAAAGGCTTTGGATGAGGACCCTAATCGTCCTCTTGTCTAAGTCTGGGCGCCCTGGCAGTATCCCAGCCCACATACAACCATGACATTTTCTTCAAACATAAACTTCATTCTGCATCGGCCGTCGCGCAGATTATCAACGGTCGCCTTATCTGCTGCATACAGCAGGGCGGATAAGCGAAAACATACTACTGCTGGCGCCTCCTTTCTTTTCCACCTTTTTCTCTTACTCCCATCCCGGCCCCCAGTACTAACCTTTCTTCTATAATTCCCAGCTTACTTGACAGCAACCGAAGTGCTACTGGAGTAGAACCATCTGCAAACACCATCCCACAGTGCCTATCGACAAAAGTCCCGTAAAAGGCCACCCTGTCCCGTTTCCATGGCGACATTCAACGTCCGCACTCCAAGACAAACAGGTCAGCATGCTTCACTCGCACGCACCTTGGATACACTGGGTGTTGATGTGTGTTGTGTGTCCGAAACTAGGATTAATGACCCTAACGGGGTTATTCAATTGACTGCACCAGGCTTATCCTCTCGTTATTGGTTGCACGCAGCCGGAGACGCCGATGCGACACTCACGGGTCAAGCTGGTGTAGGTATCATTCTCAGCTCCAAGGCTGAGTCATCGTTGGTTGATTGGATTCCGGTGAACAGCCGTTTATGTGCAGCCCGTTTGACGACATCAGCTAAGGTGAATTCGCGAAGTAAAACAAAACGCTGTATGTTTGTGATTTCTGCTTATGCTCCCACCGACTACAGTTCTAATGCAGTCAAGGACACTTTCTATCACGAACTGAACACGCTGCTACGCAGTGCTACTAGTTCAGATATTATAGTACTTGCAGGGGATATGAGCGCACAAGTAGGGTGTCTGAGCTCTTCAGAAGCTCAGCTGGGTGGTAAGTATGGACTTAACTCCGAACGGACAACAACGGTGAGCGTCTGCTGCAACTGTGTGCGGATCACCAGTTGTTTCTTACTAGCACTGCTTTTAGACACAGTGGGCGCCGAAGTGCCACTTGGCGTCCACCTGTAGCTGGCCAGCGATGGACCCAAATTGACCACATAGCCATAAGTTACAGATGGCGCGGTTCCATTCTGGATTGCCGCTCGTACTGGAGTACCTGTGTCGACTCTGATCATGCCTTGGTGCGCTGTCGTTTCTCCATGAACTTTACCGGAAGGCGCACAAAGCGTCTCCTCCGATTGGCAACGGAGAAATTGTCCCAGCCCTCGGTCAGGCAAGCCTATCAAGACGCACTGCATAGCGAACTCTCACTGTCTTGTCCTAACGACACTGAACTTCAGTGGAATAGGATCTCGGCCGCCATGCACGATGCAGGAGCATCTGCTTGTGGCACTATCAGTCGTCACCGCACCAGTCACTGGATATCCGAGAGGTCGGTGAACCTGTTGGAAGCTAGAAGACGCCTCCCGGCTGGTTCTGAACACAATGTGACCAGACGGGCTATTAAGCGTGAACTAAAGCGGAGCCTACGTGCTGACAAGGAAGCCTGGTGGACCAGTAGGGCTCAAGAAATGGAGGAGGCAGGAGCAGTAGGCAATTACCGGAAGCTCTTCCAGCTAATCCGCACCACTGGTCCCAGAAAACCAGGCGTCAGTAAAACAATCAGAGATAGCGCGGGTGCGCTGATACACAATAAGGAGCGCCGTATGGCTCGTTGGGCTGAACACTTTGAACATCAGTTCAGCTGACCCCTGCTCCCTGACCTCTTCCTACTCAGGTGATGCAGGACGTGCCATGGACGGTTAGTTTAGAGCCTCCGTCGGAGGCCGAGGTCCGAAAGGCGATCACAGCCCTCAATCGTTTTCGTGCCGCTGGCCCGGATTCCCTCCCACCTGCACTATTTAAGGATGGATGTGAGGTCCTCTGCAAAGCACTGACCTCCCTATTCGAACGTATCTGGAACGAAGAGTGTGCCGGCTAATTGGAGCGAATCGATTATAGTGGCAATATACGAAAAGAGCAGTCGCACAGACTGTGCGAACCACAGGGGTATTAGCCTAACGCCAGTTGTAACAAAATTACTGACCTCGATTATCGTTCGTCGCCTCACTGCAGAACGGGAATCTCGAATTAGGGAAGAGCAGGCCGGTTTTCGCCCAGGACGTGGCTGTATAGATCATACATTCACTTCGCGGCAGGTGCTAGAACAGCGCCACGCATACCGCAGATCGACAATAGCTGTGTTCCTCGATTTCAAGAGTGCGTTCGATTCAGTCGATCGATCGATTCTGTTCGAATTACTTGCGTGAAAAGGTGTTCCCACGAAATATGAGAACATCCTTCGTGCTCTATACTCGAACACTACAGGCCGCGTCAGAGTCTATGGTGTCCTATCGGATAGCTTTTCGACTACAAGTGGCGTTCGTCAGGGTTGTCTGATTTCCCCGTTTTTGTTCAATTTCGTCGTGGATTCTATCATGGAGTGTTCCCTTGCGGAATCCAACGATGTAGGCGTTGAAGTGCCGCCTGGTGAAAGGTTAGTTGATCTAGATTATGCGGACGATATCGTCTTGCTTTTCGACGACTTTGCGGCGACACAATCAGCCATGAACGCTTGTTTAGAGTGGTCCCATTATTTGGTATGCACTTCTCACCTCCAAAGTGCAGTGTTGCTGCAGGACCACCAGCCACTTGATGACCCCTTGACCCTTGCTAACGAGGAACTCGAAGTGGTTGGTCATGTCACTTATCTTGGTAGCTGCATCAGCAACGATGGGCGCATCGAAACTGACGTCAGGCCTGAGCTACCTTCTTGAACCTGCGTCATCTTTGGCGACAGAAGGGAGTTTCCCTCCGTCTGAAACGCCGTGTATACAAGGCCACAGTGAGGGTCGTTCTGCTCTATGGTAGTGAAACATGGCCCCTTCGGTCTGAAGATCTGAGGCGCCTTCAAGTCTTTGATCATCGTTGTTTGCGAAGCATTGCTGGTGTGGGATGGCACCAGCGTGTTCGCAACGATGATGTGCGTAGGCGAGTACTAGGTGGTGATGATCATGCTAGCTCCCTAGAACAACAAATAGCACTGAATAAGTTGCGTTGGCTCGGGCACGTGCTACGTGTGCCTGGTCACCGCTTACCTAGGAGGGCCTTGTTCAGTCTACCAGGTGTAGGATGGCGCAAGGCTCGAGGTGGACAGAAGTTGACTTGGCAGCGGGAAATGAAATCACTGACAACCAAACTGGGTGCCGTTGGTCCGTCTCGCCTTCCGGGTTGGAGTCCACGTGACTCACCTTGTGCTTGGCTCGAGACTTTACAGGACATGGCTCGCAACCGACACCAGTGGCGCGTCTGCTGCCGTCTTCTAATCGGATTGCCTGTTTAAAGTATGTTTGGTGCTGAGTTATCTGCGGGGTAATGGCTGATTATGACGCGGGGCAGTGAAAGCCGCAAGGAAGCTGTCTCGCCGATGCCGTCTTATCTTTGCACGATAGCCAGCTGTTTGTGACGGTATG